GTCTCACTCTTGTGAGTGGGAGACAGGCGCGGGTGGGCATGGATTTAGGTACTTGAGAATGAGTGGGTGGAAATGTTAAACAGGATCTCAGATTGTGGTTTGTCCTTCATTCTGGAAGAGGACCGTGACATTAAGGAAGACGATGCCATTGGAGTGAGGCAGGGCTGTGCGAAGTCACCTGCCTCACTTTCTCCTGAGCCATCTGGGGCAGTGGCCAGATATAGATCAGATAGGCTGGAAATGGCCCATCCACAGGATCACTGATACAGTGCTGGAAGGTACACTGAGGTTATAGACTTCACTTTACAGATGGGGAAACTGAGGGCCAACACCACTCAGGCAGTAAGTGGCAATCAGGATTAGAACTTGGGTCTTCTGCCTCCAATCCATAGCTTTGTCCTCAGGTTTAGCAGGCCCTCCTCCTTCCGGAACTCCGTGTGACTTATTTCCAGGAGCCCCAAGTGGCCACCTGGTTTTCAGATGACTTTTGAGGCAGTGGGGGTCAGAGTGGGGGGCATATTGAAGGGAATACCAGCCCGGGAAACAGTTCAGATCTTTTTCTGGACACTTACTTCGCTGTGTTAAGGGCAGGTCATTTAGAGCCTCTCAGCCTCCGTTGCTTCATCGGTAACATGTAAGACCCTCTATCTCTCACAGGCTTTTTGCATATGAAATAGCATATGCAAAGTGCCTTACTGCACTATACAAATACTATTATTCCGTATGACTTGACTGACCCAGGCTTTCTTGAGACAGGTTCATGGTCTACTATACTTTGCTGCCTCTGACACTGTAATATGTCTGACATAAATAGGCATTTGATAAACACTTCCTGAAATGTAAATCGAAAGAACAACCACGCAATAAATGAAAATAAATGTTGTGAAATTACAAAGAAGCTTGGCCTCAAAGAGGTAAGAGAAAACACCTTCTACTTCGTCCTACGTGTATCCTCAATGGTTAGCACAGAGCCTGGCACATAGTAAATACTTAGCAAATGCTTTATCTAGGTAATCTGACCCAGGAAGAGGACACCGGTGCTTTCTTAATCTGGATGTCCTATCATATTGCAACCTAAAATCAATTAGCTTTTTGATTGCAATTCCATAAAACACTTAGTGTTTTTTGTTTTGTTTTCCAAATTGCTTTCTAGCCATACTCCCCCCCTTTTAAAAACCCAAATAACAAAACTATTTTTCCCTGTTAGAGCTCACCTCCGTGGATTCAGCCAAATGTTCTAGCCTGTCATTATTTTTTTGTATCCTAATTGTCATCCAAGTTTAACTTCCCCTTACAGCAGTGTCACAAGTAAATTTAATAAGTATGCAATCTATCCCATTATCCAAATTATTGGTGAAAAATATTAAAAGGCAGAGGGTCAACCACATATTGCCAGGGAACAACTCCATTAAAGATCTAAGTTGTCATTGACCTATTTGAGTTCTGTTATTGAAACACTTCTGTCTTGCTTAACTCCACTAATATCTACTAGCATCACTCCAATTTGTTGATGAGCATACGAATGTTTAATGCTTTGCTGAAATCTAATATGTGAATACTGTTTCTGTAAATGAGGAAAAAAATCACTCTAAAACACCTCAGTAGGTGTTTCCTTTTGTATCTGTTATTCATTTTCCAGTTTCTTCTATGAAAAAATGCTTTTGGTATGATATGGCTTAGTAGTAACCACTTTTCACTGATTTGAAAAATGAAAGTGCTTATAAACTGTCATCCTTCAACACGTTTTACAAAGATGCTTACACTCTAAAATAGTGTAGCCTTTGGTCATGACGTGTCTCTGCCAAGAAAGCACGTTATAATTTTATTAGCTGAGATAGTTTCTTGGCTTTTTCAGCCTCTTTATTTTGGCAGTTGTTTTGCTGTAGTTAATATTCTCTAAGAAATGATGAGTTGGAGAGAGATATCTAAAGTATCTGACTGGAGTAGACACAAGACGGAAGAGTAGCAGGAAGAAGTACAGACAAATACGACCCCACAACTTTTTCAAACAGTTACAGAAAGTACACAGGGTAAAGTTTTTATTGGGAAATCGAAGGGAAAAAAAAAGAATAAGGCATTTTTCCAATCCAGGTCATATAGGAAGACTGAAAGGCCACTGGGGAATAGGTATAGCCAGGAATTGCAACATGGAACATTTCAGCACAGGGAGAGGCTATACACCAGGAAAGAAGTTCCAAATCCAGCACAAAGGCCTTAAATTTGTGCAGGGTTCAGGAAGAGGGTAATGTCAAAGAACTGGAGATGTAGAGAGCTCCCATCAATTGGGGAATAGCTGAACAATTTGTGGCATAAAAATGTGATAGAATACTATTGTGTTGTAAATGACAAAGGGAATGACTTCAGAAAAACCTGGGAACATTATATGAACTGATGCAGAATGAAGTGAGCAAAACCAGGAGAACAATTTATATACTAACAACACTGCTGTAAAAACAACTTTAAAGCCTTAGTAACTTTGATCAATGCAATGAAGAGCTGTGATTCCAAAGGACCAATAATGAAATATGCTCCCCACCTCCTAATAGAGGCAAGTAGGTGGCACAGTAGATACAGTGCTGGACCTAGAGTCAAACAGAGCTGAATTCAAATCTTTCCTCAGATATTCACCAGCTATGTGACCCTAGATTAAATCATTTAACTGCTATCTGTCTCAGTTTTCTCACCTGTAAGATGAGGATGATAATAGTAGCATCTATTTCCTAGGGTGGTTGTGAGCATAAAATGAAACATTTATAAAGCATTTTGCAAACCTTAAAGTGCTATATAAATGTTAGTTATTGTTATGATGATGATGATGATGATGATGTTCATTTCCCAATGAATAGCAGTTCTTTTTGTGGTGGCAAACAACTGGGGAATGGCTGAACAAATGGTGGTATATGATTATGATGAAATACTATTTATTGTGCTGTAAATGACAAGCAGGATGGTTTCAGAAAAACTTGGGGAGACTTACACGAACTGATGTAAAGTGAAGCAAGCAGAACTTACTTTACAAGGAAAACATTGTACACAGTAACAATATAGTAACAACTGACTGAAAGATTTAACCATTCTGATCAATATAATGATCCATGAAAATTCCTAAGAACTCATTCAAAATGAAAAATGCTATCTATCTCCAGAGAGAAGATTGATGAATTCTGAATACAGATTGAAGCATATTTTCTTTCACATTTTTTTCTTTCACACAGTATTTAGTGTGGGAATATGTTTTGCATGACTTCATATGTATAATGGTCATCTTTTCCCCTGCCTTCTTGATTCGTGGGGGAAGTGTGGGAGAGAGGGAGAGAATCTGGAACTGAAAATAAAATTTTTTAAATAGAAAAATAATACTACTGGGACATTTCTTTTTAAGGCATACTAACGCTATATTTCTAGTCTTACCTGTTATAGTACAGTATGTTTTATATGACTCTGAGTCTTCCTGACTCCAACAAAACAGGGAATATAAACTATGATAAGAATAACGATAAGGCTACTGATTTGATCTTGATGGATAGGGAATTCAATGACATATTTTTAGACCTACTTGGAAGATGAAGCAATAGCAGGTAACTAAAGTTGAATATATAATTTTTTTGTAAAGAATAATGTAAAGAATACTAGAACTCAGAATGATCTGAAGCTAATTGTGAATGTTATGGATAATGGAAAATTTTTTGAGCTGTGTTGGGGGCAAGAGAAAAATCAGCAAAGAGATGGGGCAGCTGCTTAATGTTGATAAAATAATAAATGGTGACAGAAAAAAAGATAATTCAACTCTTATGCTGCTTCCATTTTGTACAAAGGGGAATAACTGGATTAGGAGGGACAGGGTAAAAATGGCTACAGAGAGTTGAAACTGAAGATAAATGTGATAGTAAGAGAACACCTCTACAGGATAAAAACTATGTCCCAGAGTGCTAAAAAAAAACCAAAACACAAAACCAAAAAACCTGGCATGTGATTGTCGAGGTGAGTGGTTGCCAGTGATCTTTGAAAAGTCACAGGGAATAGGAAAGATTGCAGGGTTGGAGATGAAGTTCTCAAAAAAAGAAAAGGCAAAGAACAGAATATTTATAGGTTGATGAGTTTGATTTTGATTGCTGGGAAAATTTTATTATGTATTTTTAAAGAGATATTCTGTCAACAGTTAGAAAGAGAAAACTATTTACTAAGAGTCAGCATGTTCATCAACAGATCATGAAGATTAAACTCAGTCATATTTTTGACAAGACTACTACTCTCTTCCCTGCTGTCTCTGGTAGGTCAGGAAAGTGAAGAAGACCTGGTATACCAAGATTTCAGCAAACCATTTGACCAAGTCTTTCATGGGAAAAAGGGCTAGAGTCTCCCACTGCATCCTGATGAATATCTGGCCACTGGATCCAGATGGCTCTGTAGGAGAAAGTGAGGCTGGTGACCTTGCACAGCCCTCCCTCACTCAAAACAAAGTCAATTGTAAGTCATGCCATCATTTGCCTGATGTCATGGTGCTCTTTGAGAACAAAGGACAAACACAACAACCTGACAGAGTCTTTCATGGATACATGTTCTAAATCAGTGGGGTAAAACTCAAAGAGAAATCCCTGTGGACCACATATTAACTTAGAAAACCACAAATTAACATTATATTCTACTGCATTTTTATTAAACATTTTCTGATTATATTTTAACCTAGCTCTAGCTGCTTGGGAATTTTGCAGGTCATGAGTCTGACACCTCTGTTCTAGATGATATTACAGTTAGGTAGATTTGGAACTAGTGAACGATTAGATCCAAAGAGGAATCAATTAATGAACTGATGTCCAACATGAAGGGAAGTCTCTTGTAGAGTGATGTAGGGAATCTGTCCTTGGCCCTATATTGTTCAACATTTTTATTAATGACATGGGTTAAGATATAGATTTATCACTCAGCAAATTTACAAATGACGTAAAGCTAAGAAGTAATACACAGTATAATGGATAACAAAGTAAGGATTCAGAAGGATCTCAAGGAGAACAACCAAGCAAGTTTACTGAGACAAAATGCCAAATGAGACAAATCCCAAAGTTTGTTTAGAAAAAAACAAACAATTTCACAAGTATAAGATACGGGAGATATGTTTAGACAACAGTTCACATGAAAATGATCTGTGGATTTTTAAGAAAAGCACATTCAATATAAGTCAATAGTATGACAAGGCAGTAACAAAATCTAATGCTATCTTAGGTTTTATTAGCAGTGTATCCAGAAAGAGGGAGAGGGAAGTTGTGCTGGATTCTACCCTGGTCATACCACACGTCTCAAGTATTGTATTTGGCGCTACATTTAGGGGAAGATAATAACAACCTGAAGTCCATCCAGAGAGAGCAACCAGTATGAGAAGAGGATGGGAGACCATGCCATATGACAGTGAATTAAAGGAACTGGGGTTGTTTAACCTGCAAAAGAGAAAACTTAGGGTAGACATCATGGCTATTTTCAAGTGTTTGAAAAGTATGAGACTTAGATTTGTTCTGCTGGGCCTTATTAGGCTAAACTAACAGTAACAGGTGGAACATGAAGAGAATCAAATTTCAGATTGAAATAAAAAACAATTACAGATGTCTAAAATTGGTGTGAACTGCTTTAGGGGAAGGTAGAATCCCCCTCAATAGAAATTTTCAAGCAAGGGCTGGATGACCACTTATCAGTAGAAAGGTTTTCTTCTCAGGAATTGGTTGCACTAGATAGTCTCTAAGGTTTCTTCCAACTGTATGATTAGGAAAGAAGGGTTTAAAAATCTAGTTGTTTTTATACCAGAATAAGATTTTCAAAACAAGATGTTTATTTTTTAATAGTGTTTCCTTTGTACAACTAAACTCACAGAAAGGGTCCAACTAATAATTTTAAATGGCCTAATCAGATCTATACAGAAAAAGTAAAACCCTTACAGTCCCAACAGCAAAATGCCAAAATGCCAAAACAATTCTACAAGCTAGTTGTCCTGGGGAGGTATCATGACATTAGAGGGTAGAGAGAATCATAACTGAAGAAAAAAGTCCATGGTGGAATTTTTCTGTATTTTGATTTTGCATATATGATATGCAAGAGAATTGCAACTTATTGTTCAGTTACATTATTAAGCACTTTTTATATAACTGGAATGAAGTAGTACCAAATCACAGACTTGTAAGGCATTTCTAAGGGATCTAGTGCAACCTATACCAAAATCCCAGACCCAATATCATTAATAAGTTATAAATTCAGCCTCTGTTTGAAAAACTCCATTAGGGGGTAACTTTGTAAGAAAGAACTTCCTACCAATTACGGCTTTCCCAAACTTGAATGGCCTACCTTAGGAAGTCATGAATTCCCTACTCTTGGGGATTTTCAAGTTAAGGTTAGATGATGCCCTTGTCAAGATTACTATATAAGGGATTACTGTTCAGAAGTTGTTTGGGCTAACCTCTGAAGTACCTTCCAACTCAGAGATTCTGTAATTGAGAAAATTATGGAGCTCAAATCTCCCCTGGGTTCTCCTCTCCCACCTACAATCAAACAATACAAAATCAAATTCATTCATTGTACAGTAGAATGATTGTTATAGGACTGATAATGACTTTCTGTAGAGAACAAATGTAAGAGTAAATTACAACCAGACCAAAGTACTGTTTCTATGGACTTTTTGCGAAAACACAGAAGTAGCTTTTTTTTGGTTTTGTTTTATTTTTTTGTTTTTGTTTTTGCTAGGCAATGGGGTTAAGTGACTTGCCTAGGGTCACACAGCTAGTAAGTGTTATGTGTCTGAGGCCATATTTGAATTCAGATCCTCCTGAATCCAGGGCCGGTGCTCTATCCACTGCGCCACCTAGCTGCCCCCAGAAGTAGCTTTGTTATGTGAGTCCTTTACAGAGGACAAAATACAACTGTACAAGATATGTGAGGAATACATAGGATAGATACTAATTAAATCTTAGTCAGACTTTTTGGTCATTTGACAATCTGATACATTTTCTTATATATGTTCAGTGAAGTCCAATCTTTTATAAATGTTTTGACTATTTAAGAGCTTCAGATGGTAAATGTTAATATTAAATTTCTTTATAACAAAATTAAAAAAGTAAGATTTGATAAATCAAATTATTTTTCATATCCCTATGAAAAATTAAATGTCAATCTAGAACTAGTAACTTGAAGAAGCTAAATTTATAATGTGAGCCAGAATTATATTTAGAGCTAGAATAAGGCCTTCAAGGTCCTTACTTTACAGATAAAGAAACTGAGGCCAGAAAGATTAAGTGATTTAACCAATCAATAGGTAGTGAGAAGCAGAGCCAAGATTCAAATTCAGGCATTCTAGCAAAAGATCCAGTATTCTTTCCTCCATGTCACATTGTCTCTTTGTAATTTATATTAGCTAGTTTAATGACAAGAATCTCATGCCCTCCAACTGCACCATAAAAGTAACTTTTGTCTTTGTTGGGTAAACAATTTCTTCTAAATGTCACTTATGATGACAACAAATTAAAGGCAACAACAGGAGCAATAAATCCAAGTCAAAAACCTTAAAAAGGTTTAAAAAAGTCACGAAAATGAGCAGACAATGTAGTTATGAATTAACGCCAATATTCAAATAGTTTGTGTTGGTTTTAACAACTGGTAAACAACAGAACATGTACCTTTATTTATAATCTTTTGAGGAGTATTTATTCACCTCCCTTTTTCTTTTGTTCATGTGCATATATTGACATGTTTGCATTGTCAAAGGAAATGTAAATGTTATAAAAAGTATTTTAAAATATCACTTAAATCACATACAGAGTATACCAAAAGTCATGGTGCAGTTTTAAGCTTTGGGATTAATTAACTAAAGAATTTAAAAGACTCAGACATAAAAGAACCATAGGATCAATGACTTAGAACTGAAAAGGATCTCAAAGGTTATCTAGTCTAACTCCTTCATTTTACATATGAGGAAACTAGGCCTAAAGAGAAAAGTCACACAGGAATAAGGAGCAGACTCAAAATTCAAACCCTGGTCCTCTTGCTTAGGCTGCACCAATGTCACCAACAATGACTTGTACTAAGAAGTGGTAAAATAGATACTGTCCATATGTATGATCAGACAATTGGGTGAACTGCACACGTAGAAAGAAAGCAAGGGATTACAGATGGACATCTTAAGTACTGCACTGGCACCCAGTCCAGGTAACAAGACCTAAAGAAAGACCTCCAGAATGCTGGACAGACATAGTCATGGAAGATTCACAAGCAGATGAAGAAAAGACACACAGAATGATGAGCTGCAAATCTGACCACTGGACAAAGGACCCACACTGATATCACAGATCAAATGAAGTATAAATAAACAAACTGATGGACAGGCAAAATAGTTTATGCTGGATTTTACTCATGAATCATTCTCTTCCCTCCCCTTGTTCCCTCCTCCCACCCCTTTATCTATAAGATTTATAAGTGGTATTAACAGAAACTTTGAGGACATTGACAATTAGTGAATAGTTTCAGTTAAAATGTAATAAGAAAAAACATATACTGCATCTGTTTTATATAAGGTATAATAGAGCCAGGTGGTTTTCTTTTTTTAGAGAGAACTGAGTTTCAAAAAGATAGACACCATGCTTAGAGTAACAAAACTAAATAATTACAATCATAATTACAGCTTACATTTATATAGCGCCTACTAAGTACTAAGCACTGTGTTAAGCATTTTACAGTTATCTCATTTGATCATCACAACATCCTGGGAGGTAGGTGCTAATAGCCCCATTTTATAAATGAGGAAACAAAGAAGTTAAATGACTTGCTCAGCTAGTAAGTGTCTGAGGCCAAATTTGAACTCATGTCTTCCTGAATCCAAGTCTGGAACTCTATCAGCTATGCCATCTAATAAATATTTGGTTATTGATGGAATAATTTCCCTGGGCATTATAACCCAGGGAAATTAAATGACTTGTCGAAGATCACATATAAGGTCCGTGGCAAATTAATCAACGAGCATTTATTCTAGGTTTATAATCGAGTGAGCCAATACTTACTACATGGCTGTTGCGCTTCTCATTTCTGGACATCAACACCATACCTTATCTGCAGCCCCACCCTAGAAGCTCCATTAGCCTCTCAGGCTGATTTACCTTGGGATACTCTCTGCTATGCCAGCCCTCTTCCCCCATTGGCGAGTTCCTCTTGGGGCCCCCATTCATTCACCTCCTTGTTGTGCTTCTAACTTTCCAGACTACAGTACCATTCCCCCTGTTGTAGATACCTTCCTTCTTCCCTCACCCTCAACCCTGCTTTCCACCTCCCTTTTATGCATCGTCTTCCCCCATTATACTGAAAACTCCTTGAAGGCAGGGCCTTTTTCTTGTATTTATATCCTGGCATGTAGTAACTACTTAATAAATATTTGTTGTGTAATAAATGCTTATTGCCTTGCACTGTGTTAAGTTCTGGGGATGCAAAGAAAAAGAAAAGACCATTTTAGGCCTCGGGGAGCCTACAATTTAATGCAGAAATGGCATATGCATAGACGTATAAAAGATGTGTATAGTACAAGGAAACCTTAGAGGGGAAAGCCTCTTGAAGAACATGGTGTTTGAGGTGAATCTTGAAGGAAGCCAGCAATTTTAGGAAGTTGAAAAGGAAGCAGAATGGCATGCTAGGCATGGGGGATAAACAGTGCAAAGGCAGGGAAATGGGAGATGGAACATTGCATGTGGAAAACAGCAAGTAGGTCCACGTGACTGTATTCTAAGGTCTGTGAAGAGGAATAATATGTAAGAATACTGGAAAGTTAAGAAGGAACCAGATTGTGAAAACTGAATATCAAAACAGTGGAATTTATATTTGATACTGAAGTTATTACAGAGATACTGAATTTTATTGAATATTTGAGACCTGTACTTTAAGAAAACCATTTTGGCAGTGGTATAGAGGATGGATTGGAGTACAGAGACATGAAGCAGGGAAATCAATTGGAATATTACAGTTACCCTTCCACATTGTGATTTTCTCCACTGTGGTGGCCATATATCGCGGGTTGGCATAAGAAATTAAATGGGAATTTTTTGAGGACTTTTGCAGAAGCTGCAGACAACATGTGAAAGCCAGCAGACAACACAGAAAAAGTTTAGAAACTCAGAAATGATGATCAGCTATGAATGACTTAGCTATTCTCAGCAATACAATGATCCAAGATTTATGGTGAAGAATGCTATCCATCCCCAGATAAAGAATTGATGGTGTCTGAATACAAATTGAAGCATACTCTTTTTTTTTTTACTTTATTTTTCTTGAATTGTTTTTTTTTTTCACAACATGACTATTACGGGAATGTTTTGCATGACTACACATGTATAACCTATATCAAATTGCTTGCCTTCTCAAAGTAGGGGAAGGGGAGGAAGGAAGGGAGAGAATTTGGAACTCAAAGTTTTGAAAACAAATGTTAAAAATTGTTTTCATGTGTAACTGGGGAAAAATAAAATACTAAATAAAAAATACATTAAAAAAGAAACTAAGAAATATATGTATAATGTTACACAATATCAACATATTTTATCTTTTGATACTATAATAATTCAGACTTCTCTGGTATAAAGGGAGGGCCAAAAAATTTACATGGGTTTTCCAGATCCTGGGGGTGCCACACTCCTAAACCATGCAATGTGGAGGGGATAACTGTAATAGTGCAGGCAAGAAGTAACAAAGGCCTGAACTAGGATGGTGGCTATGTGAATGGAGAAAAAAGGACAAATAAAAGGCCAATTAGGAGGCTACTGCAATTAACAGGTGACAGGCAATAGGGGCCTGAACTAGAGTGGAGATAAGGGGTCAGATGTGAAAGATGTGACAATAGAAACATCAAAATCTGTTAACAGATTGTATAAAAAGGGTGAGGAAATGAGGGGATTAGAGGACACTGAGGTTTCAAGCTCGGATAACTGAGGATGGTAGTGCCTTCATTCTATCAAAGACCTATAAAAGTTTAGAAGATAGTAGAATTTGGAGGGAAGATAACAAGCTCAGTTTTTGACATACTGTGTTTTAAGATGTCTCTGGGGACATCTAGTTTAAAGTACCAATAGGCAACTGCTACTTGGGAGAAACTGAAGATTAGAGAGGGGGGAATATGATAAAGAAGATAGGAGGGGAGAGGATCAATTGCACAGAGAGATGTCCTTGGGAAGAAGGGTTTCCCACTGTCAGAGACTGGGGAAAAGAATAAGTGGGAAATGATGTCAAATTGATAAAGTTAAACATTCCAAATAAGTGTTATGCCCTAAAAGAGGCATTCCAAGAAGCTATACCATATTCTAACAATGCCACCCTTGCTCAAAACAATTTTGAACTTTAGAAATACAAGTCATGAAAGAAAAATGTATCTTATTCTTGTAGAACAGTAACTTTTCTATTGATTCTGGAGCTTTTATATTAAGATTACTTCCAAGAGGCTTCCAGTATAGTTTCAAATACAGGAAGTAGAATAAAAGATAATATAGAAGGCCCTCTAGGACTAGGTTCTAGATTCTCTGGTCTTATGGACTAATTTACCATGCCTTTGATACTGGCAATGGGAATTTTTTTGGGGGGGAAAAAAGAAGAGATTTCCATAACAGCTTATTGTCAGAATTTTAAAAAGGCAAGATTGACTAAATGAAGTGAACAACTATGGTCACTTTAAACTGTCCTATATTACATGGAGAAATGTCTATCTAAAATAGCCAGTTTATCAAATGGTGATTAAAGACTTAAGTCACAGAGAATAGTGTCTGTTTGGTAATTAGTAAGTATTAATCAATTAACCAGCATATATTACGCCTATTATGTGCCAAATAGTGTACTATGTGATGAGGAAACAAAGACAAAAATCAAAATAGTTCCTGCCTTCAAAGAGCTTACTTTCTCTGGGGAAGGGAGAGTCTGTACAAGGATAAATAAATATAAAGTAATGGGAGAGAACAGGAAAGATCTCATGGAGAGAAGGTGGCCTTTGAGCTAAGACTTGAAGGAACACAGGCATTCCAATAAGAAAGCCTTTCACAAATTTACCCCAACCTAACTTTCTAGCCTAATTCTACAGTAGTGCCACTTCCCATACATTGCAATTCAGGCAAAATGGACTCTGTTCCTCATACACAACACTCCATCTCATACCTACCTTTGTACTGACCATTCCCCATGAATGGAATGCTCTCCCTCTTTACTCACCTCCACCTCACAGAATCCCTTCCTTCAAGAAGCAGTTCAAGCACAATTCCTTATGAAGTCTTTCTTGATCCCCTCTCACCCTTGCTTGTATCCTCCCTTCCAAAAATCTTTGTATTTCTTGTATTTAACTACTTCTTACCTAGGTATATTTATCCTCTTTATATAGGGTGTTCCAAAAGACTTTTGAGACACACTATATTTATTTTACACACATGTATATATGTACTTGTGCCTCTCATTAGAATGTAAGCTCCCTGCAAGTATGGATTGTTTCATTCACTGCATCCGTACCCAGTGCCTAACACAAAGGTATATAACTTTTTCTTTTTTTTAAATGACTGGGGAATGGGGGAGAGGGAGTGAATCCTAGAAAATGGGTTAGCCTGTACAAAGGTAAAGAAGATGGGTTATGAAGAACAGCACTTAGGTCAGTTAGGTGGGAATACAGAAAATGTGAAGGAGACTAATATGTAATATGAGCTTGGTAAGGTAGGTTGGAAGCAGACTGAGGAGGGCTTTAAATACCAAACATAGAAGTCTGTATTTTATTCAAGAGGCAATAAGAAATCATTAAAGTCTCTTGAGCAGGGAGCATGGTTAGACTTGTGTTTTAGGAACATCACTTTGACAGCTATGTGGAGAATGGATGAGAGTAGAGAAAGGAAGAACAACTGGGAGGTTATTTCAATGGTCTAGGTCAGAGACAATAAAAGGACCTGAACTATAACAACGTTTGTGTGAAAAAAGAGAAAAGGACTGAGGTGAGAGATATTGGGAAGCCAACTGATTATATGTGGGAGGTGGAGGGGATTGAAGGAGTCTGAAGACAAACATGACTCTTGAGGTTGCAAAACAGGGTAACTAGAAGGGTGGTAGTACCCTTGACAGAAACAGGGAAGTTAGGAAGAGAAGTGTGTTTAAGAGGGAAAGACAATGGGACACTCAGAAGGGAAACAGCCAATAGGCAGTTGGTGTTGTGGAACAAAAGCACAAGAGAAAGGAGAGTTGGAATATATAGAACTGGCAATCATCTTCAAGGAGAAAGTCACGTCTTGTGTTCCCATAGATAAAAAGAAATGAACTATGTGGTATTTCTCAACCTAGTCATTATTTTGTAGCTAAACATAACAATTTTTGCAAGAGGATTTTAGAAGGAAATTTGATATATGCTTGGGTTAAGAGGGAGTCTAACCTCTGGCCTTTCAGAAATGTCAGGATCCTGGAGGGCAGTATTTTTAAGACACTATTTTTTAAGGCTTTCAGATTTAGGTTCCACATGTAGTCTTGAGCTTCACACACCTCTGCTCTACAGAGAATTTATTCCATGGAAGAGTTTTAGAGTAAAATTAAGTGACTAACTTTCATATGGTAGAAATAATATGGTTCCTGTTGCTTTAATAACTGGGGTCTTTACTATTTTAGCATCTGATTTGCATTCATTTATTCATTCTACAAATGTCTATGGTGTGCCTAATGAGAGACGGAAGGTACAATGTAAAGAATGATGGACCTAGAGCTGGGATTTATGAGTTTAATTCTTGTGGTAGACAATCACCCTTTGTGTGTAACCCTAAACCTCTCAGAGCCTCAATTTCCTCATCTATAAAATGAGTATAATACTACTTGCTCTACCTACCTAAGTTGTTGAGAAAGAATCACTTCATATACCTTTTAAATGCTACATAACTGTGAGCTACTTTTATGTGTTAAGGACTGCATACTGTCTTTGTACTCCTCTGATCACCTTCCAGTTTGTCAATGGCCTTTCCAAAATGTGGCTAATTGAATACAATACTACAATTGTAGTCTGACAAGGGCAATATACTATCACATCCTTTACTCTGAACCCTATGACTGCAAATAATGCAACCCAAAAGTACCTTTTCCCAAAAACAAACCTGGAACAAACATTATTATTAAAAGGAGAGCTAGAGCATTTAGAACAGGGAGCAGTAATGACAAAGAAATTTTAAGTGCTGCATCAAGAACATATAATGTCAGACTAACCTCATCTCCTTTTTCGACAAGGCTGCTAGACTGAACAGGAGAATGCTGTAGACACGGTGTATCTGGATTTCAGCCAAGGTTTTAGCAATTTTTAATGAAAACCTTGTGGATAAAATGGAAAGATCTGAGATAAATCAGTAGATTTAGAAATGAATGAATAACCAAAAATTGTGCTGGGAGCTGTCAACCTAGAGATCTGTAGTCAGAACTAAAACCTATTTAAATTTTATTGAAGACTTAGAGGAGGATATAGTCATCAATAGATATAAAGTTTATATATGACAGCTGGAGAAAGGCTCAACTGGACAGTAATCATTTTGTATGAGCCCTGGACTTAATGGAATCCCTGAGAGTTATAAAATTTCAGAATCTCAACAGTTGGAAGTTAACTCAGTGGCCAACCAAATCTAACCCATATCTGGAAAAAAAAAAGTCTATACAACATGCCAAACATGTGGTCCTCAAGCCTGTGTTTGAAGGGCTCAAATAACAAAGGATCTGCCAGAGTAGAACAGAAATCTAGGCTTGTTCTGGTACAGTACCTTGAAGGTGGTTCTGGGAATCTTTGAGGGTTCCAGTTTCCTCAGGAGTCAAGCATCCAGACCAATGGCCCCTGCAGCATATACCACAGAAAAGAACTTCAAAAGATAGTACTTGGAGAAATCTAAAAATGTCACTCAGTCTATTTTTACTTAAAATGGAATATCTAGGTTTAACTTTGGCTTAACTTATGCATGGAGGAAAATGTACACTAATAAAAACATCAATGACTAGTGAAGCTACAATGAACTGAACAAATATATTATGTACCAATTTATCCCATTAATGTTATTTAAGAGTAAAGGGCTAATGGTGATCATCTGTAGATTTAAAAATCAATTTATTTTTATTTGCCATTATGTTTGTGTGTGTATGTGTGTAAAACTGTTCAAGGACAGATCAAGGCTTTTCACTAAATTTAGCATAATAATTATATAAAACAACTACATCATTTTTAAAAGCATAAGTAGTACTTACTGCCAGAAAGCTAAATAGCAATACTTTATATGTTCTGCTGTCAGCAACGATCAAAACTTTTTTAAACAATCAAAAAGTATTTTTAAAGTTCTTAGATTCTGGGTTCAGAATTATTTAACAAAATTTTTGAAGCTTCTCTCCCTGTAAAGTTTTAAAATCACTAATAAATGGTAATAGGTTTGATTTGTACTGTACTAATTAAGGGTAAAGAATTCAAAGGTATATGGACACTATGAGAAAAAAATGTTGAGAAATTGAATTTGGGGAAATTTAAGGCATATTTTCAGTGTGATATTATCTTCTTGGGAGTGCCTTACCAGTGCTGGAATTCGATTTCAGTTCATTTTCAGGAGCTATATTACATACTGGTATGATAATGCAGATACAATTTGCCAATTAGTGTTTTGCTAAAGGACAGTAGTGGCTTTAAGTTAAGTTACCTATTACATTTACATTTACAAATAGGCACTAAAGATACTAGAATAATGGTATACTGCAAACTTGAGAAATGCTATTCAAAAGCAAGGGAAAAGTAATCCTAATAATATTTTATAATTAGTTTTTTTTCCATTAGAGGAACCAAATGAAATTTATATTAAAAAATAAAGCCAGTTCTTGGAAATAATTTTACAATTTAAGTGATTTATCTCAGATTACATTAATTTTATAAATGGCAACATGAATCCTGTGAATTAATGTTTAACATTCAGGAACTTATTAAATGATTCTTGAATTGTATCAGTGATAACACAGGAAATAACTTATAAGCAAATAGTAAAGAAAATAGAGCACATGATTTCAATTGCTTAATGTGATTAATTTTCCTTCTAGCTGACTGATATGTATCTTGTAGAAAACTTAAGTTTTCTGTCATTCTACAAACAAGTAGAGAAATTCACAACTTAAATGGGAGCTAAAGCAGATGAGGCAATGTATAGATTCATATGTGAGCTAGTGGTGATAATGACTAGAGTAACAGGGATGACCAGTAATTTATCGTTGGTATTAAAAAGAAGAGAAATTTAATTCACATTTAGGTTCATAATTATTGGTGAACAGGGTCACAATTAATTCCAGTAATAAAACTCTGCCTACATTCCAATAAAACTCATTAAGTAATAGGTGGTAACTAGATATTGAAAAAATGTGAAATATTTATCCATCAAAAACATGACATAAAAAAGACCAATTGTACAATTTTTGAATTTGTTCACAAAAGTTTAAATATACAAAATTACATATTGTTCCCCAAACCAAAAGTTTGGGCAAATAAAACAGAGACACAACAAAAGATCCAAATTGTAAAGAAACAAAAAAATGTAGTAAAATATTATTTAAAAACAAGGAACTATAACAGTAATCTGGCTTGTACTCTTTTTAAAGTTTCAAAATGCTCAATGATGAGTAATAAGTGTTGCCCTTTACTCAAACTTATATTGGTTATCAACTACCTACAGCACACTTAATTCCTGTATCATAAAATAGATTTGATGAATACTTGTAGATAAAGAATTTTTAAAAAATCAATTGAGAAATAGCTATTTTTAAAATTCCTGATATTATTATCATGTATCCATAATTGTGAATTATAGTAATAACCCCCAGAGGAAGTCAGGTATTTGGTAAGCAAGGCACATAGGACCATAGTTTGTAAAAGGTGCTTCTTCTGGTCCTAGATTTATTATTAAATATGCTACATTTTGGAGGTTTTTAAGGTGACTGACTTACAAACATATAAACAACCTTTAGAAGGCTTTTCTTTTGAAAAGCATACATTCATGATGTAAATAAATACTGTCATGACAATGAAAATTTAAATTAAAAGACGATGTGAAGACAAAAATAAAGCCTGTTTCTCAAAAACATACCTACATTGGAAGCAAATACAATAACATTTTTAAGGTCTAGAAAACTACTTTGTCTGAAAGGTTTATCAGTTCTTAAAGAAAATGTAATAAGAATCATATCCTAAACTTACTAAAGCACAATTTCTGAAACCTGTAGGGGCAGCCTTTTGACTTAACAGATTCTTTCTCCCCATGTTTTTGTCCAGATCATAAGATAACTTTCAAGTTTTCCCCCACTGAGAATAACTAGAAACACAAACCATTGCTCATTCTTCTTGCTGATACAGATTTTAATATAAAAAAAGTTCAAGAATTCATAACTATGGTACTCCTAAAGTAGTTTTAATTTATTACTGTTTTGTTGGTAAAATCATTCTTTATATTTAAAACTTTTCATCCAATTTTAAACTGGACACAATACCCTTAATTTATTATAATGCTAGCTACTGGCACATTTCCCTACAAAATGGCTAATTTTCAGTGAATAAAGTAGTTGAGAGGTGAAAAAAAGTTTAAATTTCTTAAAATGCTGGAATTATTTAGGTGTCAAAACCCTATGTCAGAAATGGAATTATTAATTTTTTAATTATACGGTTAATAGACAAGACTTTGGAGGTAAAACTGTCAACTGATCCAAAAAATAATGTCATGAAAATGTCATCATTAGCTGTTGGTAAATGCCAATCTACAATTCCAGTGGTCCTTTTCAAATTTTGCATTCTATCATATTTCCCTGTGAACACAAAGTATAAATTATAAACTACAATATCCAAGAATAAACATTTTCTTAATTACTAGTAATGCAAAATATAAATTCTCTGTCCATAAAACAGTTACTTTTGAAAATAAACATGTCACTGATCACAGAATATTAGAGCTGGAAAGAACCTCCTAGTCCAACCCTCTGGTTTGACATGTAACAAAGCCAGTGCCTAGAGCAGTGATTTGCCCAAGGTCATAAAGTGAATTAATGGAATAGGTGGACTAGAACTCAGGTTTCCTCACTCTTTCTGCTATACTACACTGCTCCAAATAACAGTATTTGCTTATTTTGTGAAACTAGCCTGTTCTGATATACTTGCTTGAATACTTGAATAATTTTAAGTTTTTAGTCACTGGGAGCATGCCATTACATTAACCATATACCAATACTTTTTTGTATTACTCTTCAAAGCACTAAAATAAGAGACAGGCCACACAGTGTCAACTGGCTAAGAAAGTATGCTGAATTACTTATTATTATTTAGATACTTAGACAATATTTGAGAAGTAAACTTGGTCCTGGAATTCTGTGCTCCTTTGTAACCCCAGGATTTGGATTTTAGTTAGGCCAGAATTTTGTAGCACACTAAGAACATACCCCAAACTGTTAACAGTTTAACAACTCTCAAAGGAAGCTGGTGAAAGCTATATGTACCCAGAATTCTGGCCAACAAGAGCCAGTTTGCAATACCTATCAGAAAGGTTCCAAGTGTTTTGTAATTGAACATATTTGCAAGGAATTGAAACCTTGGACAGAAGAGGTAAGAGTGGACTCCTGATTTATGGACACAGGAGGGTACTGTGTTTTCAAAGAAATCTCATAGTAGGCTAACTCAGTGGTAGCCTTAATGCAATAAGAACACCGTAATTTTAAGCACAAAACTTTTGAATCTTTTTTTTAACTCTACCCGAATAGGTGTCTATTGAATTGAATTTTTGAGCTATTTATGCAAATTTTAAAAATAAACACTAGAATTTTATGTGTTGTTTTAAAGTACATTATATAGAGAACAAGCTAGAATATTGATACTATTTTTGTTCACAATTGAATTAACCTAACATGATAATTTTAGAAAGTTTTTAATTAATCATTTATGACATTATCTCAACCATATTAAAAATTAAATGGCTTATAACATAAAATATTCTACTTCAATGTTCATAAGAACATATCATAGAAATGGGGTTATTTTAAAGCAGGTGCATTTGTGTAGTTATATACACAAATACATATATATAACATATACACATATATATACACACCACTTTTATATACCAAAACCAATTTCATTTGTATGTTTGTATATATGTATACATATATGTATATATACACATACATTCATGTATGTAAACACACAAAGAAACAAATAATAGCTTCTGCCCAAGCAGCCCCATGCAGTGCTTGGAGCCCTATAAAAGTAATATCCCCTTCAACCAAGTACATAGGGCACTTCTGTAGGTGGTGGGCTTATAAAATTTTGTTTGGAAACCCTGAATTTAAAATTATTATACCATTTAAAACAATATAATAACCATCTAAAATAGTTCTAGATGTCATTTTGATGTCAACTTATTGATATTCAAACTAAAAGTATCTTTACTCTTATAGCCTTAAAGAAGCTCTTATAGATTGAGTAAAATATCCATTTAAAACTCTGTAATAAGGTAGAATATATACATGATAGTCCATAATGACTCCAAATAGAATGGATATAGACAATTATATATTTTTATAAACCATTACACATTTTAAGTATTTACTTCATCTTAATAACATTAAAGGAAGCTGAATCACACACAAATAAAATTTAAAGTAATAGTAAGGATCCAATTTATAAGAAAAAATAAAAAGAAACCCAGACCCAAATTCCACCTGTAGCTTGTATTTGGTTATACAAACCATGAAACAGAGAACCTTACATATAAATTTTCCCCTTCTGATATTAAATCAGACCCATAATATTATAAATTTATAGAGCTTAACAAATAACAGAATTCAGACTTGTTTAGTAATCCCTTTATAAATATAAAAATTTTGGGAATATGAAAAATTTTTTCAAATCATACTTCAATTTCTTCACAGCTTTAATAAGAAATAGCTAATTATAATCTTAATTACAGAATAATGAATTATATTCAGTGTAATCTATCTATACACAAATAGCAAATTAAAAACATTTACTAAGATTAAATAGATCTGATTTGCAAAAATTTATATCCGACAAATGTCATGTGCTCTTGCAAAGAGTGCATAGGACATTTCTGCAGCAATCAAAATTGTAATAACCTTTTTTGTTAACTTCAGAGTTCAAGTTGTAAACATTCCTGATTTTAGTCACTGGAAACATACTGTTTCTTTCAAGTTTTTACTTTTGGATGCATTAGATATTTCACTTCCACTTATAACAAACTTTCATTTAAACAATCATGATAGGACTCAATCTGATGATCTCTCACAGAGTTTTTGCTGACATCCTCCGTGTGTGAATGATGTTTGAGGATCTTAATACTTGAACAATCCTGAGAAACAAGTTTCTGAAGGTAACTAGGCCTTAGTAGGATTTCCTGCAGGTTTGGGATCATAGCCATATAGGAAAGTAGCTGCTATCACAAGGATGGCTCCAAGGAAAAAGACACTAAATAAGAAAGAAAAAAAAAACAAGAAAAAAGAAATTAATTGAATAAAAAATGTTTCCTCTATTTTTAAAATAAAAAAGACTGCATCACTTAGAATTTTCCTCCAATAGCAAAGCATTTAAAAATTACTTTATGTCTCTAGTCAACTTATCTTTGGCATGTAAAAAAAAAAGAGTGAATAATTTACCAAACTCCCATTCTTTATTGTTTAAAAATAGGAAGAGGATCTTTCTCATGGTTCCTCCCATTAGTTCTAATTCTTCTCTACGTCATGATGAATGTGAAAATATGCTTAATATGAATGTATAAGTAAAGCCTACATCAGATTG